TTTTATTTTATTTTTTTTTATAATTTTTTATATTTTTATAAATTTTTTATTTTATTTTTTTTTTTATTTTATTATATTTTTTTTTCTAAAAATATAAAGTTCAATAAACTCAAATAATCGATTGCATTTTTTTTTTTATTTTACATGCAAGATTTTTATTAATACAGTATACATTTTTTTTTTTATTTTAATTTTAAATTTAACTTTTTATCATACAGAAAAAAAAAATCTCTTTTTTTTTCACTAAATCCTAATTTATAACAAATCCTGTTCCTCATTTTTATGCTTATCTTTAAATCCTAATTTGGACAATCTTTTCAAGGGGGTATCAATTAAAAAAAGCAGAAACCATACTTGATTATATTACATACTCGGAGATCAACATAAAAAAACTTATTATTACTCACGTAAAAAGAAAATTTCATGACGAGGTGTAATTAAATTGTAACATTTGAGTAATAAATACGCGAAACGAAAAGAATTCGGGAAAGAGTTTAATAACATAAGGGAAATTATCAAATTATCACGGGAATATCATGAGATGATAAAAAAAATTCGTTAGTAGAAAAAAAAAAAAAATTTATCATCACAATCGTAACAGGTAAATAAATGTCTGATAATAAATTAAAACATTAGTTTAAACTCCATTCGGGCAAAATTTTCTATGAGAGTTTAAAAAAATAATAAAAAGAAGGTCTTTAAATCTAATAAGTTGTACGGCATATCAAGTAATACAAGAAATTCTCACAGGTGTTACAAAAGTATGTGGGCGCCAAAACTTATGACTAAGTGAACGCTAAGATCATCCTCGTGGTCGTGGTATTACCTTTGGGATTAAATAAACAATTGTCAAATTGTTAAAGAATGTCGAGACTCATGAAATTCAATCGCAATTATTTTGGGAATTAAAATAATTCTTACTAATATTCCTAATTACGGTAATTGTTATTATTAAAAATATTATGAAAATAAAAAAATTTTATTATATCTGATTATACTTTTCTTTTTATACATATAAAGTAAACGTACTGATGTGTAAAAAGAAATATAATCGTAAAAAATGTAAGTATTATAATATTTTATTTTATTTTATTTTATATATATTTATAATATATATATTATATTATATTATATTAATATTACTATATCTGATATCTGATATCAGAATATGATATGAATCATATGATATTATATTATATTATATTATATCATATTATATTATGTTATGTTATTATTTATTTATTTTATTATACTATTATACTTATTATACTTGTAGTTTTACATTACAGTACAGTAAGTATATTCAGTATATTCAGTTATTCAGTTATACTCTCACTCTTACTGTCTTACAGTATACTCTATCACTCTTACAATATACTCTTACTCTAATACTATTACTCTTACATTATATACTCTCACTTATAGTATAGTACACTCTTACAATACTCTTACTCTTACTCTACGGTAATCTTACACGTATGTCACGAAATTGACATGGGGTTTTCTTTACGCGCTATCCCTTTTTTGAACCGCGTAAGAAGAAAAGGCGTAATTCAGGTGTTTCAAAATAATAAAATAATATGATTAAAGTTAAACGAAATAATTTTAAAAGAAAAAAAAAAAAAATTGGGTTATTTTTTCCAAAAAGATAAACCCGCCGCCCGTTATCATCAAGTACAATGCCTCTTTACCTTCTATATTGTTGTTTATTAATTTGACATTGTTCAATCATTCATTTTTTAAACTTTATACTACTATTACATTTATACTACTATTACATAAATAAAAAATAAAAATAGAATAATTTTTAAGAATAGTTTTAAGTATAATATAATAAATTATTATTATGGGGACACAAACCGTTACACAATATAACACGTTCGTATAGTTTCTAGCTATTGTAATGGATCTTCAATGATTTTCCTGATTTTAAGGTTTGATTTCGTCACATATTTGAATGACGTTCCGCTAATTTAATTTATCTGATTTGAAATTTTTCTGCTAAGATTCAAAATAAGAGATAATGTCCTCAAAGTAACCTATTGTACTTAACCCGTGGCGGGGTGGTGGCGTTTTCCCAAGGGAGAGAATTCACCCCTCTTTGATAATAACTATTTTTTTTCACGACTTTTCGACCAACCTTTCCCGTCATTCAGCGTCGTTCTTGAACCTGTCTCTTATACACATCTAGATGTGTATAAGAGACAGCGCTAAAGATGGTATATATATATATATTTACTTCTAAACGTAATTTTTGATATTAAGTTTTTCAGTTATTTAATTTTTTTTTTTAAAAAAAAAATTATTATTACAAAAAGAAAAATATGCCTGCTACTCGTAAACACCTTCACATTTCCAAACCACGTCGTCGTCAACGTTCTGTTAGTCTTACTACTCGAGCTTCACGTTGTGGTGTAAAAAATTATGTTAATGTTCTTAAAAGTGTACACCCTTCCGTTGAAACATTTTTTCCTGTAACAAAACAATATTTACAGGAATATATTGATGCGAAGAAAAAGCAAGGTACTATTAAAGCCAACTCTCTGGACCAATATTTTCAACATATTGAAAGTTATAATATGGCACTTGGTCATGGTTGGGATTCTCAAGAATTTGAACCTATGATGCGTGATGTATTGGAAGAATTGGTTCAAAGTGAAGAAAGATCTGGTAACCAACGAAAGACAACTACATCGACTGGTGATGATGATGATGAACTTTTTAGTCAAGATGGCGCAAATGGTATCTTCATCTATACATTTTTTTTTATCTATACAATCCATACAATCCATACAATCCATACAATCTATACAATCTATATATTTTTTTATCTACACATTTTTATCTATACATTTTCTTTTTCGATTCTTTTTTTTCGGTTCTTTTTCTTCATTCAATTTCTTTTCTTTTCTAGTAAAAAAAGGTAACCCAAAAAAAGTTTATACTAAAAAATTTTTTATATTAAATCTTTCTTTTTTTTTTGATCAAAGACCCATCATTAATCCAAGTTGTCTGCTTTGAGAAATCACATCCTTCCTCTGTTAAACTTGAACGTAATGTGCGCATTTCTCTTGCAAGTATTGATCCAAATACTGACCCCCTTCAACAAATATATGGGATGATCGCGAACGCTAAATTTCCAAAGAAATGGGGTAAAGTTGATAGATCTAATATCTATTATCGAACTGGAGCATGGAAAGATGCTCCACATTTTGCACTGTCTGATGATAATGTTAAATTACTTTTGGATGAATTGTCGAATCAAAAAAATCAAAAGGATCAAAAAGATCAAATTCAGAGGGATCCAAATCAGAGGGATCCTAATCAAAAGGATGGGAATGAATTTCAATTGATTGTATACACTAAACAACGTAATGCTACTCCTGGTAATTAATCATTTTTTTATGATATTTTTAAAATTATAATTTTATTAATTATCTTTTTATTATAGCCATGACGATTCAACCTATGCAATTTTCACCAACACCTAATGATGATCCGATGGCGTCTTCAAATCATGTACCTCTTACTCCTCGTAAGAGTCCACCTCGTTTGCAACAAGTCCCTGCACTTGATTTTAGTTCAGCAGGTGTGTAGATGTGTAGATTTTTTTACCGTTATTTTTTTTAAATTTTAGAAACAATACTAATATAGTATCGCCTTATGAATACTTTTGATGTTGAAATTTAATAATTTAATAATTTAATAATTTAATAATTTAATAATATAATAATTTAATAGAAAGCTCGACACCTTCACCAACGTTCATGCAACTAAAGTCGGTTACTATTCGATCATCTAATAGAGTATATAAGCAAAATATTGCTGTTACTGATAAGACAACATTTTCATCACTTTTGTCTTTTGCTATTAAGAAAACACCACCACCAGGTAAACAGTTTGTTTTACAAAGTGAGGATGGTGAATTGGAGTATATGCCAGAAGATCCTGTTAGAAAAGTAATTTTCGGTACCATTCACGCGGATGTTGTCGTGAAAATGGAAGATATCAGGGAGGTTGATTTTTCACAATTTTAGTGAACACGTGATTTTATCATAATAATTTAACAAAAAAAAAAAAAAAAAAAAAAAAAAAAAAAAAAAAAAGACTTAATTTAGTGATTAGAAAGTGATTAATTTTGAGGTGTGGGTGATGATAATTTGAAAAAACAAGAGGAGTTAGTTAGTTTATTGATGGAGATGGGATTGGACGCAAAATCAAACAAACATTTTTTAATTTTTTGAAACGATGATTAGTGAGAGAGTGAGAAAGAAATATATATATATATTATATATATATTTTCTTCAAAAAAATTTTCAAGTTTTCCTTTTCTATTTTTATTTTTAAAAATAATTAAATAAAAAAAAAAAAACCACGATTTTAACTACATAACGTACGCGTTCTATAAAAAATTTACTTGATAAACTAGGTAAACTAGGTAAACTAGGTAATATAATCAGATTAATTAAAATTAGTATTATTTTGTGTTGTGTTACCTATAACAATCTAAGCATAATCATCCTAGAACAAAACTAAAAATAAAATAACAAAGGTAAAAAAAAAAAAAAAAGTGTATCGGAATAATATCATCAAATATGGTATTGGCGCGATTTAAGATTGCGTACAATATTAAGGTTATGTGTTTGGTATCACAAAAAATCTATAATTACAGTTTGACAGTTAAGTGTAGATCCGTAAGACTTAATATTCCAATGTTTTGGAGCGGTAGTTACACGATTGGATTACGTATGAAAAGGAAAAAAAATAAAAAGAACTCTGAAATAAAATTTATGATGATAGATATTATTTAAGGAATATGAGAAAAAAAAAATATGAAAAAAAAGGTAAAATTGTTCTCATTTTTTTTTTTTAATTCTTTGTTGTAATCTGATGACCTCTTCGATTAATAAACAATTATGCACCAAATGTTATCAATGGGTAACGTGAACAATTGAAAGTGGTACAATATAATTGCAGGGATATCATATGACCATTAAACAAATTTTTTTTTTTTTTACTCCTTCTTTTAAAACTTGCCGTTTTAAAAAAAAATGATAAGGCAAAAATAAAAAATTCCCACATATTCTACATTACATTTTTCCGAAGTTTAAATTTTTCAAAGAAAATAAGTACATAAATGTATTAAATTGAATTTATTTATAATATTAATTGGTAAGAAATCCTTAAAAGAATATTTCAGGAAATGAGGAGTAGTTAAGGTAAGAGGGGGAGATTAACGGATTTAACGGGATTTAATGAAGAACAAATGGATAAATGGCAAGTATTATTATTTTTTTTTTTTTCAAAAATAATTTTTTCGTGTTTCCATTTTGTAATGGTCCAATGATTATGCGTAGTATGATGTTTTTGGTAGTACGGAATATCTTGTGATTATCATGAAATTTTCGTGTAACAATAGATTTATCTCAAATTTTTACATGATCAACATTTTTACCATCTTTTCAAAAAAAAAGAGGGAAAAAAAAAAAATTTTTTTCTTTTTTAACGACCAAAAAGAAATGTAAAGAAATCCAAACAAGTATAGATTAAATTATGTAATCGTATATCATAATATATTATGCACAATTTCTTTCAATAAATTTTTTTTTGTGTGTGTGTAATAAAATTTTCAAATAAAGAAATAATTCATAAAAAAGCCTTATATGCGCGGCTTTTCAACGGCTAATTGTTCAATCACTTTTTATAAAGGTTTAGTTTTTTTTTTAAAATATATATAAAAAATACTTTTTCTTTTTAATTATTATTATTTTTTTTTTTTGTTCTTTTTTAAGCCAATCCCTTTTTTAGGAATCCTTTGTCTTACCCAAGATAGATACATTATTAAATATTACACAACAATCCACTTATTATATTATATTATATATATTTATTATATTATATTATATTATTTATTATATTATATTATATTATTTATTTTATTATATATATATTATATATATATATTTATATTATTATTGTTGTTTTTAATTTTAATCAATTTTGAATCAAATGAGGACAAATTTAGATAATAAAATATGTAACTTTTTTAGATGGGTAAAAAAAAAATTAAAAAAAATTTTTTTATTTTATCGTCGAATAATAATAATTTTTTTTTTTAAAATAATTTAATTTAAATTATAATTTTTAATTTTTTTAATGATCAAAAAGAAAATCTTGACCATACATTTACAATGATTTGTCTTACTAATTAATTATTTTGATCGGCAAACTTACACAAAAGGTCGATAAAAGAAGTTTCGTCAAATAAGCAAACAATTCAAAAATTCTTATTAATTGTTAAATGATTGATTAAATAGTTAGTTTAAAGTAAGTAAGTAAAAAAAATTCTTTAAAATTTCTTCAAAAAAATCNAATCCTAATATATACTTGTATTTATTTATATTATTATATATATTTATTATATTATATTATATATATTTATTATATTATATTATATTATTTATTATATTATATTATATTATTTATTTTATTATATATATATTATATATATATATTTATATTATTATTGTTGTTTTTAATTTTAATCAATTTTGAATCAAATGAGGACAAATTTAGATAATAAAATATGTAACTTTTTTAGATGGGTAAAAAAAAAATTAAAAAAAATTTTTTTATTTTATCGTCGAATAATAATAATTTTTTTTTTTAAAATAATTTAATTTAAATTATAATTTTTAATTTTTTTAATGATCAAAAAGAAAATCTTGACCATACATTTACAATGATTTGTCTTACTAATTAATTATTTTGATCGGCAAACTTACACAAAAGGTCGATAAAAGAAGTTTCGTCAAATAAGCAAACAATTCAAAAATTCTTATTTTTTTATTATTATTTCTTAAAATAGTTTTTTTTTTTGAAAAAAAAAAAAAAAATTCTTTAAAATTTCTTCAAAAAAATCCTCAAATTCAAATCCTCAAAATCCTCAAGATCCTAAAAATCCTAAAAATCCTAAAAATTCAAAAATCCAAAAATCCAAAAATCCTAAAGATATTAAAGATCTTAAAGATCTTTAAAGATCATAAAGATCCTAATTAGGATTTATAATGGCGTAAAATCTTTTTGTAGTTTCCTCAAATATCTTCATAAATAACATTTATAGATGATGCATTTCATTCTCTCTCTACCATATTCGGTAGATCATTTTTAATAAATCGTGTAAACATACTTGATTTTCGGAACTTCGGAATTTAGAAAGAGAAAAAAGAAAAAAAGATTTTTCAACAAGTTTAATTTCATGTTTTTCTTTCTTAGCTTTTACTTTTTTTACTTTTCAAATGATATGTGGCCTCATCTTCGATCTTATTAAAAAAAAGCTGTGCCTAATAGACCTAATAGAGATTGCCTAATGAGATTGCCTAATGAGATCTTCAACACTGATTCTGGATTCAATTTACAAGTAATATAAACAAATAAACACATCCCTCCCTTGTTTGCCATAAAAAAAATTTAGTCCGATATATGAACCGATATATGAAAAAAAAAACAAATCAAGTTAACAAAGTTATAGAACTAATGAAATTTTTATTCCATGAATCAAAAAAATTTCCTTTTTTAAAAGCTAAAAAATAATTGAAAAAAAAAACCGATTACCAATATATATCACGTGATATTTGCTACATTGACGACATTCAAACGCAAAAGTATATGACTGGCTTATTTTGAAATCACAAGTTTGTCACATGGTTCATCCATCACATGGTTCATCACATGATTTCACGAATTTTTCATTTTTTTCATTTTGGTCAAAATTTGGATATATTAGCTTTGATTTAGATTTTCATTATCTCAATTTATAGCACAACAGGAAATAAATTATAAAATAGATATAGATATTCATTGTGCACCACCAGACCTTAGATGATAGCATGCTTCTTTGTTTTATATACATAAAACTATTTAGGGGAGAAGATTTTTTATAGATACGTTTAAATAATTTTTTTTTTGGGCGTATTAAAAAAAAAAATTGGAAGATGTAAAAAAAAAAAATTTTTTCCGGTTTTTTTTTCGTTTCGTTTTAAAACCTTTTTATAGTTTTTATTGTCATTATTCCATTATAATTAAACCATCATCTGAAATTATGTCGTAATTTTTAACTAGTAAACTAGTTTAAAATTGTTAGATTGAAATTTTAATATAATGTACGCCAACCAACGTCATCCTAGGCTGCGGTAATGAATTGATCATGAGATGTTGATTGGTTAACCAATATTTCCATAGAAAGTAATTTTAATAGAGAATCATGAGAATGTGTTTATAAATTCTATTGTCTGTAATACCAAAATATAAGCCCTTTTGTCATACGATGTGCATAAAAAGGGTTTGCTTTCTCGTGAAAAATTAAAAAAAATTATTTTTTTTTTTTTTCGCGATTATAATTATTTTAAAATTTTATTTAAAATTTTTTTTTTTGACATTTTCTAGTTTTAAAGANAATATTATTATTTAGAAAATATAATGTTGAATTAATTGATAAAATTAGTCCTGCTAAAGTAGTATATTTTGGTACGAATCGTTCTTTCGATTTGAAAGTTAATTTAAAAAAGATAGAAAGTTTTTATTAATTTTTTTTTTTTTTTTTTTTTTTTACAATAATAAATAAAATAATAAATAATAATAATAGAACCATTATTATGGCATACTTAGATAAGAAAGTACCAGAACTGCGTGATATATGTGCAGGTAAATAATTGTTTTGTACGGTTTTATTTCATATTTTTTTTTTATATTCTTCTCCTTATTTAATAAAACTATAAACCTTTTTCAATTTTTTTTTTAAAAAAAATTAAAATATTTATAAGCTTTGGGACTCCCTAAAACTGGTAAAAAAAACGATTTATTATTACGCTTAGAACAACAACAGCAACGACAACAGCAACAACAACAACAACAACAAGAAAGTTTTATAAAGCAAGAAACGAACGAAATGCAAATAGATTCTGTTCCTATTATTCAACAACAACCACAACAACAACAGCAGGAAGTTCCAACTTCTCCACATGTTTCAGGGACTGGTCCTTCACATGAACATATAAAGTACGAATATGAATCAGATGGTCTATTACATGCGATGAATGTAGAAGAAATTCCTACTGAAGATTCATCTATAGAACAGAATATACCTTCCAATGTTGAAATGTCTAATGAATATCCACAATCATCAATAGATCCTGTAGAACATCAGCAAAAAATTGATCAACCTCCCACAGTTTCATCTTCAGTAGCAACATCACCAATAGCAACTCAAAATGATGTGACCAAAGTTGAAGTATCCACAAATTTTGAACAAAATAATCATGATCAGTCCAAACCTTCTGAATCTTCAGAGAAAACATCATCATCTACATATCAAAAGGATGATATTCGATCTGAGATAAAACGTGAACTAGCTCGTCTCATGACGGAAAGAAAATCACTGAATTTAAATAGTTCAAAAATGTTTTCAAGGGGAATCATGATGAATCAAGGTCAAACGAATCAAGGTCAAACGAATCAAAATAAACCACCACCATATGATTATGAATCCTTATTGGATATAATGAAAAAATCTGAAATATATAATGATGGGGAAATACCTGAATGGTTAAGATATGATTATGACACAACATTGGGAACAAAAAAATTTGGTGAATCAGAATGTTTACGTAATATTGGAATACCTGCCGAGGATTTTTTCTTGCCTATGCCTATGCCTATTGTGACTAATGTGACTAATTGAATTTTCAAAAAGAAGATAAAAATTATATATAAATATATATATAATGAAACATATACGTATATTTTATGTTTGAGGTATTTTTATTTTTTTTTTCTTATTTTTAAAGAAAAAAATTTTGTATCATTACTAATCAATTTCTTTATTTTAAGGGTGATATTGTTATATATTATTTTTACCTTCAGACATTAGAATTTTTTTTTTTTTTTTGCCTGAAACATTTGATAAATATGGATGTATGATACCAATTAAACTGTAAATAAAAAAGAAAAATATAGTTAGCTGTGGATTTGTTTAGCAGGCTTTGTTGCGTTATTATTTGTTTTATATGCATATAAAGAAAAGGAATGATCTTATTGCTTTTGCAGATTGCAAAATGCAAATGCATAATTTTTTAAAAAAAAAGATGGTTTCACTTAGGCATAATTATTTATTAGTGCAGGTGTAGATTTTCATTAGTACTAAAATAGTTTGTGGATCAAACTGTTTATAGTTGACTTTTTTTCAATAACGGCTGAAATGGGAAAATATGTAAAGTTCATTTAGGGTTGCAAACAAAAATTTTTAGATTAGCCTGTTAAGGATATAAGATGCCGAAATTGGTCACATGATGATTGGTCATAATCTTAATTTAGGGAAATTTGAGGGTAGATCTGAGTAAAAAACTAAACCGTTGGTGTTAATGTCGATTTTATATATATTTATATATATTTCTTTTTACCCCACAATTTTATTTTTTTTCAAAGAAAATCTATAATTTTAGCCACAAGTACAAAATTGGTTACTTTTATTGTAATCAATTATCATTTTAGTATTTAATCTTACGAATTTAATCTAATTATAATTACTGATTATGTGTATTATATAAATAAACTTTTTTAGATTATATATAAATAGAATAATTAAAATAATTGAAACAATTATAGTGATTTTTTTTGTACGAAGAGGGAGAGACAAAGATTTCTTTTACTCAAATTGGTTTAAACTTTAAAAAAAATTTTTATATTTTTTCAGATCAATAAAAGGTTTCTTTGAGAAATAATTTAATTGAATGAAGATTCTTTTAAAGTATTACCAAATTTGTATTTATTATAAATATACATGTTTCTAAAACGAAAGGATTTGGGTAAATTCTGGAAATTTTATTAAAATTCACTATATTTGTTATATTCATTATTTAATACCTTTTATATATATAATATATATAATATATATATTATATATATTGTTATTATATTGATTATATTGATTTTATTATATCGATTATATTTTTATTATATCGATTATATATATCGATTATATATATCGATTATATATCGATTTTATTATATCGATTTTATTATATCGATTATATTATATCGATTATATTATATCGATTATATTATATCGATTATATTTTATTATATTAGTATTATACTTTATTATATCGATTATATTTTATTATATTATTGTACTTTATTATATTATATGATTACTTATTTATATAAAAGAAAATAGAAAAACTCCTCAACTAATAATTTTTATCGAAAATTACTGCGTAAAATAAAATCTCTTCTGGTTAGTCAAATTTAATTACGTAAGCGTAATCATTATATTAAAATCTAATTATATATCTATATATAAAAAAAAGAACGCTAGATCACCACGTATTTCTAATTGAATTCTCGTTTTTTTTTAAAAAAAAAAGATTGAAAAGACAAAAATGTAATAAAAATTATTATATCAATGTTTTTACTGTTTATATATAATGTTCTATTCCTATTATTATATCGGATCTATCGAACCCTTACACCTGCTCTTACATCCGCTCTTTAAGCGTGTAATCTTTTCTTTAAACTTTGCCAACGATTTTGTAAGCTTTTTGTATTTCTTTCAGGTAATTTGGCAACAATGGTAGACCAAGGAATAGGAGGTAATAATTCTAATATATTATCGATCAGAATTTTATCTTCTTCAGGAGTCCAAGTGGCACCAGAAGTACCTTTTTTAGGAGAAGTGGCTCTAGAACGAGGTGATCTAGCTGAAGGAGTGGTTGATGAACGAGGTGATTTGGGACTCTTACGACCTTTACGTTGTTGTTTAGATCTGGTCTCATAATAATTTGGTGGTGATGTTGATCTCACGGAACGTTTTCTTTTCTTAGAATCAGGAGGAGGAGATACTGGTTCCTATTAAAAAAAAGTAAAGTAAAAAAAAGTTAATTAATTTATATTCGTCTTTAACAATACGTCTTTAACAATATAGGTTGTTTATATACGTACTTCAGACTCTTGCTGTTCTTCCTGTTCCTTCTCTTCTTTCTCGCCTTGATCTACTTCCATATTCTCTACATTTTTCTCTTCATGTTCTACGATAGAATTCTCTTCTGATTCTCCCATTTTTTTAATTATTATTTTTAACGTACAGTAAATGTAATAGAGATTGAGTAAAGATGATGAAAAGAAAAATTGAATTTATTTTTTGGATTTTTTTACGTTCAGAGCTTCTTTTTAAAATGAATTGATCTTTATTTTTAACATCATTGCATGATATTGATTGATATCAATAAATAGTATAAAAATAGTATATAAAAAAGGTTATTAACATCAAAGGAAGGAAAAAAAAAGAACTAATTAAAATCTATTATACATAATTTTTTGATAATTGTTTAAAAAATATTTAATTATGCAAAATCTATAGTTATCGCAGTTTATATCGCAGTTATCACAGAAAAATTTTTTTTATTAATATTTTTTTAAAATATTTTTTTTTTTTTTTTTTTTTTTTTTTGTTAAAAATCATTAAAATCATTAAAATTTTTTTGGTTTTTTTTTTATACTGTAAATTATTTTAATTATTTTAATTATTTTTAATGTATTTCTTTATTTTTTATGTATTTTTATGTATTTTATGTATTTTATAAAAGTAAAGTAATAAACCCTTTTTAATGCAATTTAAATAATAATACCTTTTTTGTATTGCGTAATAAATAACATTTACCTGTTTACTCTGTTTACTCCGAGTTACAAGTCCGAGTTAAATTTCATTCCTTAAATTACAATAGTTTACGGTAACCTGTTATATTAATTCATGTATCATTAAACAAGATATTGTACACGAAAAAAAAAACTTGTGTTTCAAAAAAGATTTTTAATAGTTCTATAAATGGTATTTAACGAATGGGAGAATAAAGAACTAACGCTTTCAATTTTTTCCTTAAAGAAAAAAGGTTCTCCTCAACTTAATAAATAACAATGAGGAGCATTTTTAAAAAGATTTGAAAGATAAAGCAAAAAAATACTATTCCGGTTTATAATTGGTTAAACCTTTATTTTTTTTTTGTAAATCAAAAGGAAACCTAATCATGCTTTTTACAACTATGTTTTAAAATAATAATGTTGAGTAACAAAATTCTGTGATGGTCATAGGTCATCTGATATATTATCAGGTATTGTAAGTTTTCGGCGAAGCCGAAAACCTTAATATTCGGCCAAAAGTTTTTCAAATTGGTAAAATTAAATCACGTGCTTTTAAATGTTTTGATTGGGTTTGATTAATCACGTAAGCTTTATCTATTGCGCAAGAACTCGAAAAGTTTGTTCCATTATTTCTATAACTTCCTAATCCCTCAATGGTTAAAGAGTGGTCGAATTAGTAATAGATAACGTTTGATTGGTTTGATTGGTTTGATTATTTAAGACATTATCATTATGACTAGTTGTGTAAATTTAAAACCTACAAGTTTCGGATGTTTCCGAAGTTTAGACAAATTTCGCAAGTTTCGGGATAGACGGAACGTTTTGACCAATTTCTCCCGATACACTAACTCAAAGTGTCATCATGATGATCAAACACCGTGGAAATGAGGTTGGTGGTTAAACTGCTGCATCTTCAAATATTTCTTTCGAAAGTCGAAACCTTACTCATCATTCCCACATGTTGTATCGTAGATGAAAAATTTCCAACTTCCGGGAATCCTGATTCAAATCCACATGTGCCATTGTCAGCGAAAATGTTCTTAGCTACCAGTCAAACAAAAGAAAATGTTATAAAAAAGCTTCTACTGGTTTTTTACATCATCAATGCAAGATTCTGCTTGAGCAGCTCAGATAAATCTGGCAGATTGATCTTTTCTTGATATTTGTACTTACTAAAAGCTGTTTGTTGCGGTATGTTCTTAAGTGGTCAATGTGAGGAAATATATCCATATGATAAGCTTCCAAATTTTCCAATGCGTGACCACCTACAATTATACGGAATTTAATAAAGATGTTAAAAATCTTAGATTTAAGATTTCTTTCGTATAATAAAAATGTAATTTTGATTATAGGGAGGGCATCTTGATAAAGGGAATCTCGTAGTACGTCATACCAAATATGAATTTATCGTCATACAACCAATCTCCCGCATTCTTCTCCAACAACTGCTGGTTTTTTTACATCATCGAATGCAAAATCCTGCTTGAGCAGCTCAGATAGATCTGGCGGATCGATCTTCTCTAGTACTTATTAAAAACTGTTTGTTGCGACATGTTCTTAAGTGATCAATGTGAGGAAATATGTCCATATGAATCTCGAGTTTCTATCGATTTATATATCTAATGAGATTCAATAATGCGCTATATAAATCCCGAAGTACGCCATACTTTGTATAGTTCTTTTGAATTTATCGTTATACAACCAATTTCCTCCAACAACTTAACAAATAAAGTTTATTTGATGATAAATATGTTATTAGGTCTTTCGGGTTTTTTACATCATCGATGCAAAAATTCTGCTTGAGTAACTGTTTGCAGCAGCATGATCTTAAATGATCTAGTGTGAGGAAATACATCCATATGAATCTTGAAGTACACCGATTTCTATCGATTTATATAGCTAATGAGATTCGTACGCCATATAAATCTCGAAGTACGCCATACTTTGTATAGTTTTTTTTCAGTACATTCAATCCCTGCATTCTGCTCCGACAACTTAATAGATATTTTAAGCCTTACAAGTTTTTTTACATCATTTTGCTTGAGCAGTTCAGATAGATCTGGCGACTTTCTCTTGATATTGTACTTACTAAAAACCGTTTGTTGCGACATGTTCTTAAGTGATCAATGTGAGGAAATTTATCCATATGAATCTCAAAGTACACCGGTTTCTATCGATTTATATATTTAATGAGATCCACCGATTTCTATCGATTTGTATATCTAATGAGATTCAATAATGCGCCATATGAATCTCGAAATACTGTATAGTATTTTTTTTCAAATATGAATTTATCGTTATACGATCAATTCCCTGCATTCTCCTCCGACAACTTATAAATAAATAAGTTTATTTGATATTCAGTCCACCTTGTTTTAGAACTCTTTCCTACATTCCTCAATTTTATTATAAAACTTTCCATTGTCTTTTGTCATTATTTCGTGCCTTATCCTAATATACTCCAAGTACTATGCTTTAAAACAACCAGTATCTCATACTCGCAGTAGAGATCGAAAAAATTTTTTTATCTCCATTTCGTGCGTTGTGCCCAACTTACAAACGGATGAACTAAAATTTAAACATAAAAAAAAACTATTAATTACGGATTACAAAAAGAAAGTGCGCTCTTTAAAGATATTATATTTACCTTAATTTAACTGGAGTCGATTGATCTTAATTGAGTGTTTCTTATCCTTGAGGTCATCTCTTTAATACTTTTCAGCTAATTTAACTATTGGTAATTGTGCTGATGGATATGGCATTAAGTTGTCTTCTAAAGCTAACAAATAAGCATCAAGTTTATTGACGAGCTTGGTTAAGAATCTTTTGTAATGCACTGATACATTCAGTTCCTGTCGCAATGCTGCAGGATAATTAGAAAAATCACTTGAAATAGAAAGATTTAAATCAATAACCGCATAAGCATTCCTAATTTGTATAAAAATATCTGATGGTATGATATTCGTTATCAGAAAAATATCACTTACTGGACTAATCACCTCTAGCGTTGCAGTAACAGCTTCTTTAATTATCTCTAAACATGAAACAATACGTTCGTATAATGTTCGTGGGTTTATCAAATCTACAGTATCTAGTGCTTTTCAACTATCTCAATTAGTCGTGATGCTTTGTTGTATGCCCATTTGTCATGTTATGGACATTTCTAGTTCTAGTTGTAGAATAATTAGATCTTCTAATAAAATCATCCAATAGATGTCGATTAATCAAGATTACTATTATTGTTTTGAATAAACATTTTCTGTTTTATAACATGTGAGATCATATCCTTCTAACCTTGACATCAGTAGCTGCAAATATATCTTTTTGGCTATCGTATATAAATTTAATATTCATGAATTCCAGTATTAGACGTCACCAATAAACCCATGTTGGTCTTTTAGATATCGCTCGTGATGCTTAGTTAAAATTTCTTTTGTTATAACACGTGAAATCATATTCCTCCAACCTTGACATCAGTAGCTGCAAATATATCATCAATATTAAAGTTTTTTTTTTTGGCCATCATATATAAATTTAATATCCAGTCTTAGACATCACCAATAAACCCAAGATATCACTCGTGATACTTAGTTAAAATTTTTTTTGTTATAACATGTGAAATCATATCTTTCCAATCTTGACATCAGTAGCTGCAAATATATCATCAATGCTAATGTTTTTTGGCTATCATATATAAATTTAATATGAGATACCAGTCTTAGACTTCGCCAATAAACCCAAGATGTTCTTTTAGATGTCACTTCTTTTTAATAACAAGTAACTTTTCAAATGATCGAATTCATCAAGTGCGATCTACTTTTAATGTGATTTCTATTTCAAATGAACGTTTTAAAAAAACTTTGCTCCTTTTTTTTAACAATTATAATCTGAAAAATACGAAAATAACATTAGTTTTGATTTTGAAGAGTACAATTTTTTAAGAAAAAAACAATTAAAAATAACCAGTCTAATTTAAAAGCTTATTTACCAAAGTTCGCGGTTTGTCAAAACAAAGACTCAATGGTATTGTTCGTGCACGTCCTATACCAAGTCATTATTCTGCAGTAAGTCGAACTGTTTCCGTTTTCTTTTATCTCGAAACTTGTATTCACTGCTAAGGTCCTAAATTTGAGAAGCTTGAGCTCTGCAAGATATTTTTTTTCATGTTACACAATCATGTTATTGATAAGATCATCGATTCAAAAACAGATCAATTGACGGTTGAAAAAAATTCTTTCAAAACCAAAATATAACCGCGTACTGATCACGGTACGTGGCATTGTGAAATTGGGATAGTCTGTCAATAATTTTTATATTTCGTTTATCTTATAATTCTCTATTGGCAATTAAGCTTTGTCTAAATGATTGCAGTTCAAGATTCAACTAGCCATTGGTGGTTAATCTTCGCAAGGTATTATACTAAACAAAATTTTTAGGTAAGAGGATGTATTCCTTCTCTATAATTCCGTCTTTTGATACAAAGATTTTAATAAAGGATTTTAATATTAAGGTTTTTCTTCTATTTAGTGTTAATTAATGTTACATGAAAAGAATTTTTAAACTTAAGGAGTCGATCGACTGAAATTGATGGTGGAATGAACGGAAGACTTATTTTTGTAATGAGGTTGATGGTAATTAACTGCTGAAGTCTTTGTTTTTGAATAGATTTATTTGCTAACGCAAATTCTTTCCACTTTGTAACAAACTTTGCATCACACTTTGCACCCATATGCATTGGTTTTTATTGACATATAATATTAGAAAACATAAATCAAGCCTCCTTATTTACCAGTTCCACATATGTCAAGTTGTAGGAAGATGCTTGTACTGTTCCAATTTATTTTAGTTTAAGCGTCCAGCAAATATTTTATAAGCATCTACAGGCGATTGAGAATTTAATAAATGAGCCGATTTTTTTCCTTTTTTTTGGAAAAAAAAAATTCGTTGAGCTTTTATGCTTGTATTTTTCAAAAATGATCTTTTATCAGAGATTAGTTATTGGCAGAATGATATCCATTCTCCGTCAAGACGTCATTTCCTTATCATTTCGTTTATTATATTAATCTACGACACAACACCGCATTAATGTATTTGATCGGGTTGGCAAATATGGGTCAGTTGCAAATATGAATATATATGGTCATATTAAATGCATCAACACAAGAAAAAATGGATGAATTCTTCAGAAGATATTAACGACCATCTATATGAATGGCAATGGCATATACTGCATCAATTATACTAATTATCATACAAGCACGCATCAAAGGAAAAAATGAACAAAATATAAAAGAAATTTGAAACGAATCAAGTTGAGAAATAACCTACAAAGTCGAAGAATATTAAAAAATAGATAATGGAATTTTTTCTCTCTTTCGCATTTTGTGCCACGGAGCGAATTTATAGTCTTTTTTTTTGTTTATAACAAGTGCACTACAAAAGGCCGAATAGCAGTCGAATCTAATTGATGTTACATAATAATCACATGATCTGAATCCTGTTCCTTCATTGGCAATTATTTCGATATCATATTCAATACATACAAATTATGCAACAAGTTTTGGCCGAACGAAATCTTGTGATACAGAACAAAAAAAACAATAATTATGAGACTATTGGATAAATTTTCATTACTCATAGTAGTAGGCGAGAGGCAGTAGTTAATCAGGAGTTTATAAATTACACAAATAATTAATTCAAAGTTAATTTAATGCTACATAAAAAAGAATTACAATCCTTTTTTATTTACTAAAGTACTACAACGTTTAAGTATTCTTAAAAAAAATTAACTAAGATTTTGCTGAGAGATAAATTACTATCAGATTGACCTATACAGTAAAGCTTCAGTATAAAGGCAATCCATATAAAAAACTTAAAAAATATCTTGATATAAAATTATAAAATTATACGTATATCGTCGGAGTCCTGGTCCTCTCCAATTTTTGTTCTGAGTGTGCTAATAATATCATTATAATTTAAGAATAAGCCATTTTGTATCAAATTAGCAGAAGAAGCTGGTTTTAAATTGCGTCTTTTTGCCAAATCTTCATGTAACTTTTCGAAGAACCAACACATAAGATCGTTAAAAACATATATGCAATGAGAATCAAATTTCCAATCTGGAAAATCTAGGACTTTTGCAACACCCCATTTTGTTGGTACGTCTTTGCCAAAATACCACACGTTCGTGTCATCTGTTCTATTATGACATGGCGTTGCTATAAGTTCGCCCGTGTATTTATCTGATACGCATGCTAGACCTGCGGGTTGATGACTAGAATGATGTGTTTTTGTTTTGTCACTGTTTTCGTGATGATCCCGAGATCCCCAGCACAAAGCACCACACCAATAGCATGCTTCAGTACATCCAAGCCTTTCCATGATTGATTTGTCATCAGATGGCTTTTGAAAAGGTTCTAGTCTTGGAGGATGATTATTCCCTTTAGTTTCAAGCTCTTTCTCGATAGTGTCTCGGAATATTTTTAAATCATTTTCCGTAATTTCACCGTTAAGATCTAATTTGTAATCAACCTTATCAACTTGAATCATGTAATTGTTTACAAATTTCTTTATTTCCTCAAAACTTTGACAGTTACGAATTTCTTGAAGTACTCGTTTAAATTCTGCACTAAAAGTATCTTTATATTTTTGTTCGGGATTTCCGCTTGAATTATTATCAACTGTACGTACAAACCAACTTTCTATGCGTCGTTTTGGATTCAAAAAATGTTGTATAGCATCTTCTTTTTCACCATTTTGAACTTTTTCAGCAAGATTTTCAAAGTATTTAAGTCTAATTGATTCAGTACAAGTTAACCAAGCGATATTACGTACTGCATCTTTTCGTTCATCACTTCCTGCATTCATTGCTTTTTTGTGAATTACTCTCATTAAATAATCCGCAATAATATGACCCTCAGAAACAAGTGTATGTCCATATTGGAGCCGAGTATTAATTATTTTTATATATTCATCTTCTTTTTGATTAAGTATGCCAAGCGGAGTATTTTCCTTATTCCATTTTTCTTGGTAACTAATCATTTTTGGTTTAAACATCAACAAGGCATATAAGTGAGCATTCCACTTGAACTCGGGCAAATAATTATTTGGGCAAATTTTTAATATTCTATTTTTGAGATCACGTATAATTCCATGATAAAAATAATAAGCAGCTTTTTCGTTTAAAATATTATCTATCAAATCATCAAGCTTGTCCTCAAGAACCACGAGTTCGTTCTTTTCTAGATATTGTGAAAAATGAAAATTTTGAAGACTTGCAAAATATTGCTTGCTAAGTTTTTTATATGCTTTGAATTTAGATAAATCTGGTAATATTCCTTTCATGTATTGATGGTAAAGCTCTCTTGGTAATGAATTATAATATTCATCTTTAACCTCTTTATTTATTTTTTCCTCTATTGGTATGGTATTATCTTTTGATAACATATGTTGTTGTAATAAATTCCATATGTCGTCGATTTTTTGTTGACGTTGCTGATTAGATAATCCTTCACTTGACATGTTTTTTAGGATATTTTCTAAATGTTTGTTAATTATATCTAGAGATTCAGATGAAATACCCTTTCGAATAAGACTAGCTTCAAGCATTTGAGTAAGTTTTGTGGATACAGACTGTCGATTAATTGCGATATAATTTTCAATTGTTTGTTTAGTTTCCATTTCACACTTCTCATTATTTTTATCCCGAAGGTACTCTTCTAATTCAATTCGTTCTTTATTTGTTTTCTCACATTCTTCACATGCTTCGCATTTGATATTAGCGTCTTCCAACTCAGAAGATTCTTTATCTTTCTTCTCATATTCTTCACATAAAATAATATTACAATCTGGGACGCGTCTTAGTTCCTCTTCAATTAATTTTGAACATTCATCTTGAAGGATTGAATTTATGTTTGACTTGTCATTTGGAGACCAATTCAGAAGTTTAGAACGAATTTCTTGCATAATTGATTCCTCATGTTTTTGGAATGATCTGTCAATCGTTTCCTTCAGCCTTGTGATTCGTTTACCAAGATCAATAAATTCATAAATTTCTTTGATATTTTTGAAACGAACAGTAAAGTTCTCATGAGAGACTGCCTTCCAGTAATTCTGAATTAATGAGTGCCACTGTGAAAATTCAATTTTGTTTTTAGAATTTTTACAGTCTTCAATTATAGAATTATAGAGATTGACAACATCTTCATGATATTGTTCTGACGGTGGAGCGTAAGCAGTTGCACCATTTTTAAATGGTCTAAATGGTTTGAGAAGTTGACCATTTCGTATTCTTTCATCAAGAATATGTAGACAGTCTGTATTGGAAATTCCCATCTCAATATCTTGTTCGTTAGCTATTTTTAAAGCCTCCCGAAGAGCCTCCCGAAATTTTTCTTCCGGTTCGGATATTTTTGCTATATTTCGTTCAGAAACATGCTGTACCATAAGAATATCGGGTGCCATTCCAGCTTTTTCGAGACGTGCCATTGTTACAATTGCTATCTGTAAAATCTCAGTCAAGTCTCGCGTTGATTCTCCAAGTACATTGAGAATTGTTAAATTACTAACACCCATTGCAAAAGTTGTTAATATTCGATCTTTTTTTTCTGATTCTGGATCGTTCATCTTTTCTGGTGCACCAAGACCCTCAGTATCAATTAAGATAAATGCGTCAATATTAAGTTGATCCGATAAATCTTTTTCCAAAAATAATAGTCGCATAAAAAGACCTCTAGTACAACGTCCAACTGAAACAGCAAATCTACATGCAAAAAGAGCATTCAATAGAGTAGATTTTCCTGATGACTGTAAACCAAGTATGCTGATCACGAAAATTCTAAGTTTAGGATATTTATTACAAATATGTTTGCAAATAGCTGAGAACCAAGCTTCAGATATAGTTCCAGTATCACCATTAAGTAATTCTATAGTGTGACCACTAATTAATAATTCCGAATAAAGTTTAGGTAATTCCAAAACAATTTCATCACTTGGATTATTAACAGATAAGATTTTATATATTTGTCCCAATTCACGGAAAAAATGTTCCAAACCTAAACTCATGTCATCAACTTCTGCCCAAATTTTTGCAATTTCATTTAGAATTGTTTCCTCATCTTTTTGATCCTTGTTGACCACACTGGATTTACGTAGTTCTTCTTTTTTCAATACAGCCCGATTTCGAGCTTCAGAGGATTCTATCATAGAGAGCCTAGATATTTCTCTTTCAAGGTGTGCTAAAGCTTGCCTTCTTTTGTCAAGGGGTAGTTTTAGAACGAATTTATATAATCGAATTAATACTTGCAAATCAGTATTATTATTCCAAATTTGGAGTCCATCATCGGATTGTTGCCTTCTTTGAAGTTGCATAACATTTAGTTTAATGTCGCGACAAGTTTTTTCTTTAACGAAATCTACCAAAAGTTGAGACGTTTGAAACTCAATATCTTCAGCAAATTGAAGTGATCTTCCCAATTTTAATTCACTGATCTTGAATGGCGAAGTATCCGAATTATCAATATCTAAGGCTTCCTTGAACATCATACGTACTTTCTTCAGCGTTCTATCATGCGTTAAATTATTAACATTAATTGCGTATTTCCCTTTTTTACTGTCACTTACGTAGCAATTTACCACTTTTTTGGGACCAATTTGAACTTTAAATTCATCTAATTTATCTTCAGTATATCCAGGCATTAAAAAAACTAAGAAACTAGAAGGGAATTGCTTTAAAAATTGAATTTGGTCTGGATAATCTAAGGCATCACCGTGTAAATTTGCGAGCAATATAATTTTGTTTGTTCCTTCTTTATAGTAATTTACAAAAACATCATTCCATAAACCCACGTTACAGGTTTCTTGGGTCAGCCAAGTAAACTCGATGCTTCCACTGATCATATGTGGTATTCCATGTTCTGCTCTTGGATCAGAACATGAGGAGAACATAGAATTTGAAGCCATCAATTGATTAAGAATAGTACTTTTGCCTGAAGAATTTGTTCCAATTCGAACAGCAACGATTAATTGGAATGGATCATTGAAGAGGTGATTTTCAACAATTGTTCCAGGCTTTGTTTCCCATTTAATAATGGGACCAGTAAATGAAGGGAGCATTACTCTAAATTTTTCTGCTTCATCCAATTTAGGCATTACCAAGGGAAATGAAATTGGAAATTGTGATAAGGTTCGAAAGATATCTTGAGCCACAGTGCATTCAGCAGAGGCAAGCAAACTAGCAATGCAATCAAACCGAGACAATTGATTTCTCTCTAAATCTTGGCTTTCATCCATATCCATCATTGATTCTTCATCAGAAAGTTCCTCGTCTTCATTGATCAAAGTTTTAATAGTTTCTGCTCTAAGAACATCAGCTCCCCACATCTTAACTTTCTGCCGGATATATGGAAGAACTTTACTTACACTTCCACTTTCATAAGTCGACAATTTCGGTGGTAACAAAATTTCGCTTAATTTAACGTAATGGTAGGGTTCAATCAAAGGTATTTCTCTATCTAGAATAGGGTGCCATTGTTTGTGTATTGTTATCACTTTATTATCAACCATAATGTCTGAATGTTATAAAAAACTGAGTGAGAGTGGAATTAAATATTGTTTTTCAAACAATGTGTATATATATGTAAAAGAAAAAGGTTGATCATAACCAAATCCAAGTTTAGAGTTTTTTTGATCACTGATTTAGTAATTTCGGGTACGATAACGTGAAATATTGCAGATCTTTTTTGCTTTAAAGTATTTAGGCTTATTGATTGTATGACAATCATCTGCACTTAAAACATGCTTTTATATAAATTTCGCAGTCAATCAAAAAGGTTTTTTTTATTTTCTTTTGTCAACAATACTTTTCAATTTTCAACTTTACCCGTTTTTGTGTTTAATTCTTGAAATTTTTTTTATTGAAGACAAATTTTATATTTTGACAAAATTTCGACAAAATCTGAGTACAAAGAATCCAAAATTACTAATGTTGGTAATCCATTTTGTTCACAACTAAGTTACAGGATTGATTAGACTTTCTCTGCTTGATGGATTAACTGCCATTGGACGTTCGAGTGCACCTTGATCCATTATAAACTTGACTGGTTTTAAATACCACAAGTTGCAAATGATACACGTAAAAGATTGAGTTTACGTCATTTACAAAAAGGATTTTTATATTGTCATTCAGAAATTTAAAACTACTTACCCAACAACCATCCACGTTAAGAAGATACTATGAAACGAAAATATTACGTAAAGTGTGAACCTGTCATAAAAGCGAAGTATAGGCAATAAAATTATAAGGATGGTTAAATAAGATGTGTAATAATCTACAAACTTTTTGATTTAAGCTAATAGGATAATAAGGATATTATACAAACATGATCCCACACACCGAAATAACATTTTTTTCCCAAAAATGACAATTATAATTCGTTACCGATTTACGTAAAGGAATGAGGTACTAGCGAACTTAATTTTCATAACTAATTTCAAGAGCTAAATATAAACGACATAAAGTTAATTTATTAATTGAGGAAATACCAACAATCGAACAAAGAAAAGAGTGCTAGGGATTATGTATTTGAAGAGATATGGACAAAAAGATATGGCTGAATGGGTGTCAAAAAACAGAGAGACATAAGATAGAAAAAAGGAATAAAATTACAAGAAAAATTAAAGAAATAAAAGACAAAAAAAGAAACATTATAATAATATACATAGAAAAACAGACGATACTAATTTATATTTTGAATTAGAATAAGAATGAATATATATTTTGGGACAAATACGTTGGGTTTTGTGATTTTGGTTAACCATGCTACCATAGTCCTAAAGGAAAAAGTCTATGACTTTTTACCCTAGAGTAGGTTTTTTTAGAGGGAGTAGGTCTCAAACATTATCCGTTAGTCAGATACCTATTTTCTGCAACCATTATTATAAAAATTTATGTAACGTTCAACTTTATATTTGTTTTAAATAAATTTTACAGTATTAACTGCTTTTGAAATTTTTTTTTAAAAAAAAATAATTAAAAAAAGCCCTTTCGAATTCATCCAATAACTAATTTATTATGCGGCCAAATAGATCATCCTGTTTTTGACATATAGTAATCGTGATATTTTTTAGAATGAATTACTATTGCATAAATATCTTTGCTTGATATTTTTGATATTTAGGTTAATATTAAACTTTACGGTTAATTAAATAGCTTGTTAAAATATCATCCGAACTGTCTTGCAGCTCGGTGATATTCTAACATCTATCCAATAACTGAGTTTATACAACTAATATGATCAAAAAGCATAAACTCCCTTTGGGTTAACTGTTCTTGTAAAAATTTTTCATGCAAACCATAACTATTTTTTTCGCATAATTTTTTTTACTTTTGCCACTGATCGAGAGCCTACTCAATTTTTTTAGAAAATTTTTCAAAAAAAAATATTTCATCACTTTGAATATCTCCAAAATAAAATAGGAAATACTTATTTTTTTAATGTTTTTATGGTTAATGTTGCCACAATAAACAATATTAATGGTACGATGGCCAATAGTATTGATTTGGAATAAGAAAAGGTCGAACCTTACTTCTTTGGAAGATAGACAAGCTCAAAAGCGTTACCACTGAAGAGACGAACTTTGTTTCTAAACTTCGACATGGGTCCTAACTTCTTGTCACCAAGATAATTTTACAAACCCACAAGATGGTCACGTGCATATGATAATCGCACTGTTGATAAGTGTCGAAATGTTTTACATCTCGAACAAGAAATTTGTATATGAATTAATAGCTTCAGTCAAGTACCCAAGTGTGAACACCTGGAACAAATATTTCAGCAGAGATAAGCGAACCTCACATTGCGTGATAATTCTAGAATTAGATATTCATAACGAATACTAATTTCGATAAGTTGTTCTCTTGTATTTTCAATTAAACTTACCAAATTTTTATGAGCAAGTAATTATTATTAAAATGATAGTAAAAATTTTAACCAGAAAAGAGGTGAACATTTTTTTGAATTGGTAAATAGTTGTCTAATTGGTATTAGACTAAATAATTTAGTTTTGCCCTAAATGTCGCTTTAGGAGTTTCATTATAATAATTCCAATTCTTTCGAAATAAAAAAGCCGAATCGTTTTTGATATTGTAAACTTTTATACGTAATAATGTTTTAATCAAATATTTTAAAAATAAAGAAATTTGTTAAATTCATTTTCATTTATACTTATAATAATTACATCGATTATTTTTATTAAACGTCATGATTTTTTAATACAAAGCATAGCAAATATATGTACAAAACGTAGTGAAGGATACAAGGATACATGGACACTTAGCGTTCATCCAAAACATCAAATGATTATACCATTTTATTATTTTTTAATTCGCTATGTATGATGTCAATCGGTGTGATCATTGTGATCATTGATACTTGCCCACGTCAATCTATAAATAAAAAATTCTATAAAAAAAATTTTATTTTTAATTTAATTTTAGTCAAATGTTAAATATCAAAAAAAGTTAATGATATAAAAGTATTACTATC